GGCCGTAAGGCGTCAAACACAGTGCGCTCTTTCAGATCGATCCCCTGCTGCCTTAAATGTCTGGATAGGTTGCATGTACAACCCTTTGAATAGCTTATTAGTTTCATGCCTGTATTGCTCTCTACTTTATCCTTTTCCTGTCTAGTGCAGCGAACCCCCACTTCTCAGCATTTGCCACGATCCGTGTTTGAGGCCTATTGCACTATTTTTTGTAAACAATTCACCAAGGATAGTAGTTGGAAAGTTTTACATTGAATAGCTAACAAATGAGTGAACTGGCAGAAGTAAATAAAGTAACACCCTGTTAAATGAATGTGTTTATTTTGGCTGAGCTGAGGTGATTATACAAACCTAACCTAAGTTTACAAACTTTTCACCATTCAGTGTTTGTGTTTCACACTGTTGTCACGCATGCTAGCTTGTTGCGCGTTGATGCATCACATATTTACCTAATTCAGGTCCTGGCAGGTGGCCACACATGTTGTTGTAGATATGTAGTGTTTAGAAACTGATAAGCAAAATCGAAATTCGAAAGAAGAAATTAGGTATCCGGTACCAGGTATTTTCTTATCAGTTCTAAGTTGTAACCTACTTTCAGTTCCCTACCCTAGTAAGGATATGCCAAATTTATACAGATTACTAACTTGTCACAGGACGCATCTCATTAATATTTTAGGTGTACTAAAAAATGTATGCCACTGATGTATTTTCCGTTTAATGTCATTTGTTTGTTTAATCTATAAGTTTGGTTGGTTCTGAATTGTAAGATTTCTTGGGAGAAGTTAAGTTCACATTTCTGTATGAATAATCCATCATAATACGTCTGTTCTTCATAAATACTGATCTGGTTTGGCCCTCAAATTAAGCCCAGTTTTTAATTTTGCCCCCCCTCTGTGATTGAGTTTGTGATCCTTAGTCCTCTAGTGGCTGGGGGGGGGGGGAACAAGAGGGAGGAAGCCAAGTGGCTTGACTGGATTCACTGAGCCTCTGCTATTTGCTCCTATAGCCCTGAATTGTGACCAGTTCCAGCCTGATAATGTCACCAAACAGGTAGGCACATGAATGTGAATGGGCGACATGGCATCGAAATAAATCTGCTCTCGACCAGCGTCTGAGTTTTGTCATCTGTCATTATCTTCTTCCAAGACCCTACCAGAGCTTGCAAATGAGTTGACATCCTTCAGATCCGAATGCTTGGCATTGAACATGGCGGCTGGAGGAGGAGGAAGTGGAGAAATGCTGTTAGAGGTAATTAACCTTCACGCATGTGCGTCACTGACCCGTCTCGGCTAAAAGAAGCACAGTTGATTCTCTCTTTCTTTCATCCTTTCGCTCTGAAGATGCTGCTGTCTATAATAGATAAGTTACTCTCATCTGGGCCACTGGGTGACAACAAGAAGGTGAGCAGACTGCTGGCCCTGACCGAGAACGCCATCTTCATGGTCACTCTGCTGCTGAAGGAGCCTCAGACCCAGATGGCATCCACCCACACAGGTACATGCCCCGAACCACGACCCAGAGCGGAGTTCCTGCAAACCTCATGCAGATTTCGTTACATTCTAGTTACATTCGCTGGGGGTTGGGTGGAGGCAGGGTTGTGGGAGGTGAGGTAGTTTTTTGGCCTTTTGGTGGGGAAATTTACTGTGAAGAGTAGGGAAAGTCCATTATCTTTGAACTTGTGCACCATCAGTCATTGTTATGCCAGTCTGTGATGCTATTCTTTAATGGGTTCAGCTTGTAACGCTCTTGCTGAATTTTCGTTATGTGATTTGGGGCGTATTGTGTTGGAAAGGGCGCTATATAAAAATTCATTGAATTGAATGTAGTAACTTAGCTGACTTAGCGCAGGAGTAACTTAAGGATTTCAGGGACCCAACCGGCAATGTGGGTCTAATCTACTACACTAACTCTAAAGCATACTTAAAAATACTCATTTGGTGTTGTGCTATTCATTGTCACATTTGTACTTGTTCTGTCCACACTTTACGGCAGATATAAGCAGCTGTTTTGAGCCCTATGAGGAGATAGAAATGTAAGCTGTGTTTCAAGTGCAAAACGAAGGCACTAAAGAACAAAAAGAAGGGGTGTTATGTGGTCATATGGTGGAGTATGTGACCATAATTAGAGTTCTTGAGGCTCATTGGGTTTGTGGGCTGTTTCTGTTCAGTGTGTGTGTGTGTGTGTGTGTGTGTTTTCCTACCAGAACCAAATACTGCAAATGTGTGTGATGTCAGTGGATTAGACTGGGCGCCTTGATGTCCCGTTGATATCCAGGGAGTCTCCTGCTTTATATCCTACACCTGCTCATTCACCAGATCACCAACTACTGAAAACACATAGATGGAACTTTCCACAAAGACTAAACTTTCCCGGCGTGATTGTATTTTTTTGTGCTGTCCCATTGCCATTTCAGATTACAGCATTTTTTTAATTGACTTTCAGTTCCTAGGATAGCTGTAATGTTAGGGACAATCAGGATATCGGTTAAAATTCATTCCAACCCTCATTAAGGATTCAATTTCACTTCATTAAGCAGGTGATTGTTCGACGAGTAGCACAGAAGCATTACCTGAAAGTGCTTCAAATCCCTCGTGACGGCACTGCAGTGTCATTATGAAAACACACTGTCAAATTATCTATTCCGAAATGCAGGTGGAATGACGAATAGTAAAGTTCTAATGAGGTTTGGGAGTCGGGAATGAAATTCTGCCCATCCTGTTCTGGGGTTTGTGGTGCCTTCCAGAACCTAAACAGCTGTTATTTCATCACTAAATCAGTATTATGATAATAATAATAATGATAATGATAATAAAAATAACACAGTAATATAACTCCGTCATATTAAACATAACAGGTTAGAAAAGAAGAACGTGCCAATAACAGAACAATTAACAGTAATCCTCTCTGGGCAGAGGTGGAGATTCTGGTGAACAGAAGCACAGTGCCGCCTCAGGGTCCAGTCAGCTTGTCATCCCAGTACACCAGACTGGATACTCACTGGGAGACAGCCGCAGGAGCGATCGACAAATACCCAGGTTCCCTCCGTCTCTGTATTTCATCACACTTTACCTTCTGTTTTGACCACTAACACATGACTTTTGCAACTTTACGTTATCTTAGTATTCTGGAAAATCACCCTTCCTAACTGTCATGTGTCTATCTTCAGGGTTTGCCTTCACCTCCCTGCTCAGCTACAACAGCCTGGAGAAGTCCACCAATGGCTTCTTCCATGGGATGGGCAAAATGAGCCAAGTGAGAGGGTACCAGATCATCTCCAAGGTGGTGACGGCCAGCGTTAGCAACAGGAACACTCGAGAACTACAGGAACCGGTCACGTTTGACTTCAGCCACACGCAGTTCGCTGAGAAGGGAAAGCCTGTGTGTGTGTTCTGGAACGCCAGCCTCGGGGGTGGAGGCTGGTCTCCGGTGGGCTGCACGATGGTGAAGTCAAACCCCAACCACACCATCTGCAACTGCACCCACCTCAGCAGCTTCGCTGTCTTGATGGCACTCTATGACATAGAGGTGAGTCGAGCTCCACAAACCTCAAACTAGTATTTCCTCTTTATATATAGTACTGTGTTCCATCGAACAAAAAGATCTAGATTTATACTATTTATGGAATATGGTAAAAGTTGGACGAAGCTAGTATGTAGCATTGGGACAGATCTCTTAATCATTGAATTCAGCTGTTACATTCAGACCCATTGCCACAGGTGTATAAAATCAAGCACCTAGCCATGCAGTCAGGTTAGCAAACATTTGTGAAAGAATGGGTCGTTCTGAAGAGTTCAGTGAATTCAAGCATGGTGCTGTCATAGGATGCCACCTTTGCAATAAGTCAGTTTGGGAAATTTCTTCCTTGCTAGGTATTCCATGGTCAACTGTAAGTGGTATTTTCGCAAAGGTTAAGCATTTAAGAACACCAGAAACTCAGCCATGAAGTGGCAGACCACGTGAAGTGACAGAGCACTGTGGACTCAACTGCAAACTTCCTCTGGCATTAACTCCAGTACAAAAACTGTGCCCGACTGCATTGTGCCAACTGTAAAGTTTGGTGGAGGAGGGATAATGGTATGGGGGTGTTTTTCAGGGGTTGGGCCCTTAGTTCCAGTGAAGGGAACTCTTAATGCGTCAGAATACCAAGACATCATGGACAATTCTATGCTTCCAACTTTGTGGGAACAGTTTGGGGAAGGCCCTTTTCTGTTCCAGCATGACTGTGCACCAGTGCACAAAGCAAGGTCCATAAAGACATGGTTGGGTGAGCTTGGTGTGGAAGAACTTGACTGACCCACACAGAGCCCTGACCTCAACCCTATCAAATACCTTTGGGATGAACTAGAACAGAGATTGTGAGCCAGACCTTCACGTCTAAAATCGGTGCCTGACCTCACAAATGCTCTTCTCGATAAATGGACAAACATTCCCACAGACACACTCCAAAATCTTGGAAAGCCTTCCGAGAACAGTGGAAGCTGTTATGACTGCAAAGCAGCAAACTCCATATTGATGACTATGGATTTAGGTGCTTAGCTAGATTCTTTTGTACACCTGTGGCAATGGGTCTGAATGAAACACCTGACTTCAATGATTAAGAGGTTTGTCCCAATATTACACACTTCTTTTGTCCATATAGTTTCTGTGAATATGAATGTTATAAAAGTTCCTGTAGGTACAATGGCCATGTGTCCCAATACTTTTGTTCATATAGTGGCTAAAATCAAGTCATATGCTTTACAAGCAAGTGTATCCAGACTTCCGACTGGTGCTGCATTTGTATGTCCTCATGACAGCTACCTCCTAACAGCATCTAATCTCCCCCACAGGACACATTCGAGTTGCAGTTGATCTCGTGGGTGGGGCTGTCCCTGTCGCTGCTCTGCCTACTGCTCTGCATTGCCACCTTCTACTTCTGCAAATCCATCCAGGGGACCCGCAACACCATCCACCTTCACCTCTGCATCAGTCTGTTCGTCGCCTACCTCGTCTTCCTCGTGGGAATTTCCAGAACGGAGAACAAGGTGAAGCCTCCGACCATAGCCTGTGCATGTATCTCCACCATTTTCCCTACTGAGGTCATAATATGTGTGTAGGTGTATCTAAGCCCTCCTTCATAGCATGATCTCTGGCCGTGTTGCCCATCAGGGTGCCTGTAGCTTCATAGCAGGCCTTCTCCACTTCTTCTTCCTGTCCGCCTTCTGCTGGATGTGCCTGGAAGGTGTGCAGCTTTACCGCATGGTGATGCTGGTCTTCAACACCACACTGCGGAAGCGCTACTTGCTGGCCGCTGGCTATGGCATCCCCGCCGTCATCGTGGCGATATCCGCCTCCGTCGACGCAAAGGGCTACGGAACAGATCGCCAGTGAGTGGCATTGTTGTCTATAGACCCAGCTGGCTCTCATCCCAATGCATCCGTGGTCACGGTCTACTGCCGGCATCAATGAACGTCAGTAGTGTTTGTTGGGTTTCTCAAGTGTCCTCTGTTGTGTTGTAGCTGTTGGTTGAGCCTAAAGGACAATTTCATCTGGAGCTTCTTCGGCCCTGTCTGTGTCATCATCATTGTGAGTATTTCTTTTGTCTCTTTTATTTTTTTATCATCGGTGCAGTGCGATTGGTTACCTTCACCATGTTCTTCATGAAGAAGACATAAGGGTTCTGGTTAACAGTAAGGATCATTCTGTTCCGGCTCATTGCACATTATAAACCATCACAAAGCTTGTCTTTAGTCTTTGGCCTGGAAGTGCTCACTGTCCAGTGGTTTTGGACCCCATCTCTGCACTGCCATCCTGCCTTGCAGATTCTGGGGGGGGGGCATTGAGTTACAGCTGCAGGCCTACGGCAGGGGAAGAGCAGCTGCATTGCTAACGGTGGACTGTTTACATAATACCACTGTCACGCCGCTTCTCTTTCTCTCTGACAGCTGAATGTTTTTTTCTTCATCATCACGGTGTGGAAGTTAGCAGAGAAATTTTCCAGCCTTAACCCTGACCTCTCCAGTTTACGGAAAATTAAGTAAGTCCCTCACATTCCTGTCACTACTGTTCATCACTGACATCACTCTGTGTTATTTGCTAATTGTTTACTGTTAACATTATGCAATATGTGACAGTTTTTATCAGTTGAACGTAACATGATTTCACAATCAGATTGACATAAGGGAGTTTTTTTTTTTTTTTTTTAAGGGAACCAAAATAGAAAAAAGCCCATTTAGAAACATCAGTATCTGCCAGCTGTGGTAGTGGCCCAAATTACATTCAACAATGTTTGTAGTTTGTAGACATGCAGTGTACATGGCTGTATCTCTGCTGCCACCTGCAGGACATTTACAGTCACAGCTATAGCACAACTCTGCATCCTGGGCACTATGTGGGTCTTTGGCTGCTTCCAGTTCGAGAAGAACACACTGGTCATGTCCTACCTCTTCACCATCTTCAGCAGCATCCAGGGGATCCTTGTGTTCGTCATGCATTGCCTCGGCTCCAAACAGGTCTGGCCCATGCACAGGGTCTGCAGTAAAGCTAAAGTTCAGGCGCCACCTTAAACTTGAGAATCATAACGTTCACTGATGTGTCTAGAAGTGTCCGTGCTGCCGTCACGCTTGCCAAGTCGCTGCAGGGCACTACTGCCGATGCCCGAGTGCTGTTTGTGTTTGTAAAATCCAGAAAGTTCTGCTGATTTGCACGTCTTTTTAACTCGTTGGCATTTGGCTCAGGTACGAGAGGAGTACAGCAGGTTCCTGACCAATTGCAGGCCTCAGAAGTATTCAGAGTTCAGCAGTAACAAGTCCAGCAATTCACAGGTAGACACACACACACACACACACACATTAAGCACTAATACATACCTATTGCCTGAAAGATTATTTAAAAATTTGAGGTCTTGAATAAAGAATCTACAGTATGCATGACCAGCCACACATTTTCATATTTCTTACTGTTAAAATTTGGACCCGCTTCAAACACTAACTCTGGGACCATTTCTTTCCTTTTATAGGCCTTCAGAAGCTCTGATTATACAGGAGAGTCGAAGATCTGAGGGATCGTTAACCATCCCGTGTCGCAGTTACAGCTGTTCTCTTGCCAGCTTCCCTGTATTGCTCCGCTTACCCTTTTCTGAGCGCAAAAAACCTTTGTGCCGGGGCTCCGACTGGAGTATGGCCACAAAATGGACACCTCAGATGCTATTGGTTTTTGTTAAATGATTGAGCTCCTTTAGGAAAGAGAACAACCACTAGCAGACGGCCAGCTGACCTCAGTGCTGTCCCTCAGCTGATCGGGTCCACTTTCTCATGGAATGTATTGTGGAAAAGTTTGGACGATTAAGAGCAAACCACTTCGCCAGTGAGCACACACATTCACGGTACGGTGCAGTCTGCTGTGGTCATGAAGCTTTCTTGCCATTTCTGCGCTCTACGGGGCAAAATTTAGCACTGTTTGGAATTAATCTTTTGACCGTATGCAAGGTAATTAAGCCACAGTTTAGAAGCTAAACCAGGCTTAGAAGAGTAACTAGGCTTAGGTCCCATCATTCACTTTAAATATAAAAGGTGTGTTACAACTCGAGAAATTCTTTCATTCACGCTGTTGTATGCGCTTGTGGGAATTTTACTTACACAAAAATGTTCCGAGGGCAGAAGGAAAAATGAGTCGTTCAGAGAGATAACCAATTAGATTGTAGAAAAGGTGGGTCCAAGCAACTACAGGAGGTAGGACCAAGACATCAGATTGGTTGGTCCCGCCTCCTCTAGTTGCTTGGAGCAACCTCCTCTATAATTTGATTGGTTCAGAGATATAACCAATCATTCTTCCTTCTGCCCTCAGAACACTGTTGTGAGTAAAACTCCCATGAGCATCACACACAGTAAATTCTTAAAGGTGGAAAGTGAAGGTCTTGTGTTTCACTTTATTTCTAAAAATCGCACACTGTGTGTACAATGGTCTCCCCCACCATTCATATCTGAAAGCGTATTACTGCTGTTACACATAAAAAGATTCTGAGTTTGCTTCCGGGCTGTCTGGGGACATTAGCGTCTCTGAATATGAATGTTGCCAAGTTTTCTATCATTTGACGTTTTTGACAAATGTTTTTTGTAGTCCTTGACTTCTTTTCAATTAAAGCTAATTTATATATTATACTTAAAGAGATTTCACATTATGTTAATTACCAAGGTTGATGTCTCCATTCATTTATATGTTGTATGTTTAGCCTGTGCTGTTGTACTTTTGTGTGTATGTGTGATGATTTATATAAGTGTAGCTATTTGATTGTCAATATTTCCCAAGTTTTTTGCAAAGTCTCAAGACTCTTAGAACCTGATGCATAGGGAGCTGCTGCGGGTTAGGGTTTTTGGGATGACTTCTCGATTAGCCAATAATAAAACAGTGGTTCTCTACTCCAGCCCTGGAGACCCACCGTTATTGGCTGATTGAGAGATCATCCCAAAAATCCGCACCAATACCGGCTTTTTGTGGATCAGCTTCCCTACCTCTGGCTGCGTTTTTCCACCTGGGTTGGAAAATTAATACCCAGCATGGCGAAACAGTACCATCTACTGGTGAATGGCCTCAAATACAAATTTTTAAATCTGGAAACGTATGTAGAGATAAACTCTAGGTTATGAGACTTATTTACTATTGAATAATTACTAGTACCTTTTAATTCAAAACCACCAACCGCTGTTGTTATGTTGATGAAGAGAACTCGAGACCAACACCATCCATTGTAGATTTATTAATAAGATCTGTGGTGTTCTGGAACAACAGATAGCCTAGAGGGCAGGATCCTCAGTGGGTGGAGCTTACAGGCTGTGCAAAAGTACGGGACCACCCTAGAGGCCGTGATGTCTGTGAAGGTGAAGAGGGCCGTCCTCTCCCGGTCCTTATAGAAAGACACTTTTCCGCGGTCCATGTCCAGTTGGACACGGATGACCTGAGGCCCCTGGGTCACATCGAGAGGCGTCCACGGGGCGGAGCAGGCCTTGTACTCGCCATTGCGCAGCCGTATGCTCCAGAAGCCCTCAGCCGGCGTCAGTACATGCTTGCCCTTCCTGTTGATGGAGTCCTTGGCCACTCCAATAACCCAGTAGGTGTTATCGCGCACCTCCACCTCCCAGCTGTGCCGGCCGGAGCCGAAGCTCTCGGAGCCCAGCATCTCGGCGCTGATGTCAAAGCGCTCGGGGTTGTCAGGCAGCCGGAACTGCTCTGTGCAGCACTGCACCCTGCACAGGTCCTCCGAGACCAGGAAGCAGTTGGCGGCAGTGTTGGGGTCTATGACCACCGGGGCTGGAAGGCGAAGCCATAAGATCCGTCACACAAATAGCATGTCATACACACGCTCACTTAATTCCAGAAGTACTCACTGTAATGGACGATCTCCATCATCTTCTCCCACACGTTGTACTTCAAGGAGCCCAGGTGTCTGGCCACATCAAATAGAGCCCCTGAAGGCAGCTCTGGTTCTGGAAATGAACCCCAGGTTCTGTAATGATATAGGAACGTCACTACTGATGTGGCTTTGGATCAAAATCGGCAACAATAATGAGCAAATAACTCCGGACTCAGCTACCTCTTCATGATGTTTTCGTAGTTCTGCAAGAAAAAACAAGGACTTTAGTCGTATTCATCTAGCCATGCACAATTTTCTATTCTGCTTATCTAACATTCATGGTGGGAGCAGGTCAGGTATATCAAACCAGATCTCCCTGTCCACAGATACGAATCATGGTGGTTTTTTCACATGGTTTCAAATATGAGATATGAAATATGATATTTCTCAGGTCAGGTCATTGGTTTCCTCCCAATGGAAAATAGCCAGTTTGAAGGGAAGATGAACTACTGAAATACTCATGATTCATTATTTTCTACATTATTTATTATTCATTTACTATATATACATATATAAACAGAAGAACTTGTGTACAGAATGGGCTCCTCCAGCACTTGTTTATGGCCCTTTCTGTTAGGTCAAGTTTAGAATAGTCTTTTTACCAGCCACTGTGAGTCAAGATTGTCAAGGTACAACTTCCATAGCATGACCTAGCGGTGGAGAACACCTGACCAACATGGCGATGAGCAAGTACTACAGCAGGACTGTCTTACCCGCAGGAAAAGGATGTCTTTGGCTTCCATTTCTTGTTCTATAGATCGGACAGTGTCTGACAGGGATGAAATTTCCAGTGTCAGATCTTCAATCTTCTCCCGGATCATCACACTCTTGAGTTCCTCCTCTTTTTTCAGCAGCTCCAGTCGAGTCATCTCTTCATCTCGCAGAAACTGGTGAAGTTCCTCAAAATGCTCCTTTATCTGCCTCTCCGTGTTCTGAGCCTGATGCTGCAAAAAAGGGACGACATGGAGATCAGTCATCCACAACTCAGCCTCGACCTCTTCTTGACCAAGCTTTAACATGCTTGCTAGGAACTACTAAAAATACCTTCATGTGCTCCTCAGATTCCTCGCAGGTGCTCTTGGCCGTTTTGAAGGAACTCAGCTTTTCCTTCAGAGGCTTCAGTGCATTCTTGAGTTCCGCCTGCCATCAAATAGTTACTCATCAGAGTCTGGTTTCAGTCCCCCCCCCCTTGCTGGTCATTACTGTGGGTAACATAATCAGCCTTACTGAGAAGATATAAATATCTCCATGCGACTGAGTCGCAGACTTGTGTCAAGCATGGAGCTGCTTCTTAAAAGACTTCCTCTGCCAATGGACAACTCAAGAAAGACAACTAACAATGTCCTTGATTTAGTACAAGGCTAATCCATTTTATTTCCATGAAACTCTTCGATCTAAAGACTATAAATAACTAAAGAAGTCCCATTGGTGAATTGAATGAGTGGAGAGGAGAAAAGGGGTAGTCTTGTGTGATCTTTCCAGCCTTTGAGACCTTGGAGCAGTCGGTTGGAAGACCATGAACACAGGGAGGTTCCGGACCCACCTTACAGTCCTGCAAGGCTTCAGCCACGGGGTACAGCCTGTGCCCTCGGTGGGCCCCGGAGACTCGGCACTCTCCACAGACAGGCCGGAGCTCCTCCAGGCAGAAAAATTCCAGCGCCTCGCCATGTTCGGAGCACGCCGTCGGGTCCGAGCGTGCCCTCTCCCGCCGTAGGGCCTCGCACGCTCTCTGCAGAGTGGCGCTGACGGGCAGGCGTTCCAAGGAGGAACGCCGGAAGCACAGCGGGCAGTCGCGGCCACCACTACCGATGCCACCTTCGCTCCAGTGGTGCTCCAGGCAAGCCCGGCAGAAGTGGTGCCGGCAGGAGAGAGCCACCGGGTCCCGGAAGATGTCCCCGCACATGGGGCAGGACAGGTCCTCCAGCTCCTCCTGCAACGAGACCCTGGATGCCATTCCTGCTCCGAGGGCTGGAAAGCCAACCTTGTGGCAGTGCACCCCAGCCACAGGCTAGATAAAGTTACGCTGCGTGTCCCCTCCCCTTGGGGAGTCACCAGTGCATAGAGGGTGCAGAAAACGTCAATATTCATTCCTCTCTAGCGAAGAGCCTCACGATGGAAGGAAAAAAAAAAAAAAAAAACGTGTGTGTATATATATCTCTCTTCCTTGACGACATGGTGCAAGGGAAGATTGGAAGCTCAGTAAGTGGCTTATCTGTGAGGTTCCAGACACGTGGAGGTTCGGCAAAGTGGGGACATTGCAAGAGCTCAAAGGACAGGCTTGAAGTGAAAACTCAACAAGGCAGCACTCAGAGTGACGACTTCATTGTCTTCGCCCAGATTCTTGACTAGGTTTTATGGGCCGCTGGTAATGTATATGGTGATTTTTCCCCTGTACAGTACAAAGTGTGAAACTATTTTTTTCAATCAAGGTTATAGTGTATGGTGCTAAAGTGGGGTGACACAGCGGTTCATGTTATTGCCTTGCAGCTGTGGGACTCGGGTTCGAGCCTCTGCCCTGGCATTGTGGGGTTTTCTCCAGTTTCCCACCACAGTCCAAAATCATGCTGAGATGAATTGAGGTTGTGTGTGTGTGTGTGTGTGTGTGTGTGTGTGTGTGTGTGTGTGTGTGTGTGTGTGTGTGTGTGTGTGTGTGTGTGAATGGTGTGTGAATTTCCTCAGTAATGGGTTGGTTTCCCATCCTGGGTTGTTTCTAGCCTTTTGTCCAAAGGCTCCAGACTTCAAAAACCCTGCATAGGACAAGCTAAAACGATTTATGTATGGATGTTACACGAGTTGACTGAAATAAAACTGGTGTATGATCTTGAAAACAGAATATGTTCACATTTTCCTAGACTACTGATGAATTTAAATATATACTATTTCAGGATGGCATGGCTGCTGAATAGGTACCAGTGCTGATACATTTTGTGTCTGTGTGTGTGTGTGTGTGTGTGTGTGTGTGTCTGTGTCTGGAGCCCATATGTTCTCCCTCTATCATGTGGGTTTCCACTGGATACTCTCCTGCACTCCAAAGATGCGCAGTGAATATAAATACAACCATTTCAAACAATATTATTGTCACTGCCCATATGCTTTCATGTGCCCTTTATGTTGGCATGGATGCAGGAGAGGGCACAGTCCTCTCAGTAGCACATTGCTACCGTCCAAATGACATTTCATTCCTGTCCAATCTCCTCCCAGCTGTTCTGTGATAATTGTTTGTCTCTGTGCCCTGGCGAAGTAACATTATACAAGTGTTTAAGATTAATTTTAATCAAATCGCACAGCCGCTCCCCAAAAAGTTCCAGCATTTCAAAAAAAAAATTCATCGTTTCTCGCATAATGTCGCACTTAATAGTTACATGACATCTGGTGGTACTGCTCCATTTCGAACATATCCGTAAGTTTTCAGAAAATGTCCATAAATATGGATGAAACAAACGCGGAGTACAGACACAGAAGGGCTCCATCCGTATCCTTAAGCTCAAATGAGTCTTAAAATGCCCATAGTGTGGCTGAGCGTGAAACTGACTGAAACACACTAGGAGTTATGGATGCTTGCAGCAGGTAAACTAAAAGCAAAATCTCTCCCAGCCCATCCTACAGTTCCACACCCTCGTCCGTAATGGGGAAACTGTGTGTTGTGTCATTAAAAAAAATAAAAAATAACTAACGCCATGATGACGCGATTTTCTTATTAATTTTTTTATTAAACAGAGGCCCAAGGCCCAAAGAGCCATCTCCTGAACAATCTATAAAACAGTCATGACTAATTTATTTAAAAAAACAAAAAAAAACAAAAACAAACTTGGTTTCTACCCAATTCAGTCTAAACGTCCCAGCTGCTGCGCAGTAGATGTTCAGGAAAGACAGGAAGCCAAGACTCTCCAGATAGGCTCAGGTAAAGAGCCAGGAAACCGCAGCACAAATCCGGCAAACAGCCGGCTGCCTTGCAGACCTGGCCAATGAACATTACGGACAGTGAAACGACGGGAAGCAGTCCAAAGCCAGCTCGGTGCCTCTGGAAGGTAACACCGTGACAAATTACCTACACGAGGTGCGCTTTGAAATCAGCATTAATTAGCGCAGAGTGTTTCCCGTGCATTAGGAGCAGATTCCTTGATATCCCCATATAAAGCTGCCGTGAGAGGTGGATAGATGGGCGCATTTGCAAAACAGTACATATAGACAGGATCTGTTGCTAAGTCAGTAAATGGAAACCTTGAAAAAAACATCACACTGACATGAATGAAACCAGTATAAAATCAAATGTAAAAACTACCCAGCAAGTTTTTATTAGATATAACAGCTGGATATTAACAAAATATGCGTGCGTGATCTGAATCTGAGCATTTTCAGGCAGACGCCCCCCTATGGCAGTACAGTGCTATGACATGTGAGTACACCACAGGAGACCAGGGCCCGTATTCCTAAGCATTTTACTTTAGTACTAAGAATCAAACAAAAAGTATTTAACTATGAGTGTTTTTTTAAAACCTATTAACGAAGAGCAACTTTTAGTTAGGAAAAGAGCCGACTCCTAAGCTAAGAGAGACTCCGTCGCTATGGCTGACGTCAGTTCTTATGCACGAGCTTGCCTGCAATAACCACGGGGATTGGCTGATGAGAGGCCAGTACGTGCTGGTGAAAATGTACGCGAAACATCCCACGAACACAAATACAGTGCAAACCACTTATAGTGATCGTGGTTACGGGAATCAACTGCTTATATGGATCAAAAACCTTGGGATAGAATCATTAGTTTACAAATACTGTTTAAATAATTCGCTTATAGTAGTCCACTGCCAAACTGCCAAAACCGAGCCAATGAGACACGGCGGCGAAACTACATTAAGGTCAATTTTAGGTACAGTGCTGTATTTTAGCATATTTGAATTATACATAGTTCAGCGTTTTAAACATCTGTACTGTATTTGAACGAGTCAGTAAAATTCAGTACGTAGCGACACTGTCCGTTTTATTACTTTTGTAGGAAAGAGATAGGTACATTGGGTTTTGCATTTTGAGGTAAAGATGGTGACATTCTAAAGATCTGGGGAAATCTGGTGGCCCAGGTATCTGAGACATTAACCTTTTGTCTTTATGGACATCCTGACCACTGGGTAGGGTCCCAAAGTAAATGTGAATGCTAATCTCATGATAATGTGAAGGTCTGAGTGATACTGTTAGGCTGATTAGATTAGCACCTATGCATTTGAAAGGCACTGCTATGCTGATGAGATCAGGGCTGGGGAAATTCTAGGCTGATTCCTGGACTATACTATGCTTTGTTTAGATTGTCTCCACCTTTGTGTATCCCTCCCCCCTTGAAAAGTATAAACTCTCCAGAGCTGAGTTCTAGTCAGACTCGGATGACTACTACGACGCACGACGAGTTCTCAATAAAGAGTAACTTCTGCTTGAAAGATATCCCAACGTCTCCTGGTCTCTGCTTCGACGAAGGAAAAAGTTTCCCACACTTTATACTAATGTAATAAATATACAGATGTCAATTAGATAGTAAACCGCCAGAGACGTAAAGAAAAAAAAAAATCGGCTATAATGATCACTATAAGCAGTGTATATGTATATGTTTGGGTTGTTTCTGTTTGATGATGCTATTGCGTCCCTCACAAGCTCCACAACAATCGTTATTCCCTCCCGACTGAGGCGGTATCCTTTAAGTAAGTCAGCGTTCGTTTAACGCTTCCAAGACACATGCTGCGTTTGTGAAACGGTCCTAGTGACTTAGGAGTCCTCTCGACGACTTTGTCATTCTCCAGGACCGTTGGAGCTTCTCCTAAATCGGCAAGGTAGCAGCTACTTTTAGCCTTAAGATGCTTTGTGAACGTGGGCCTTGCTTTACGTGTTAAAAACACATAATGCCTCAAGTCACTCACCATTGACACAGGGGCTGTCAAATGCACGCTCTGTAATTAACAAAGTACATCACACATACAGTAATAAACCTTTACACTTAAACTGAGATATTCACAAGATTAACAGTATTTGATTTGTTGTACAAAACAGGTATTTACAAGATTAACATATTATTTTCTCATACAAAAGTGTTGGGGTACATTGTTTAATACGTTGATATTTTATTCGGTTATTTACACCAAGTCCACATGTTTCCAGCTGCTATCCACACACTGGTGCACGTTCAGGCCATGTTTGTATGCGTAGCTCTTCCCGCACTCTGCGCAGCTGTAGGGCTTCTCGCCGGTGTGGCTGCGCAGATGCGAGTTCAGCGAGCTCTTCTGCGAGAAGCTCTTCCCGCACTCTGCGCAGCTGTAGGGCTTCTCGCCGGTGTGCGTGCGCTGATGCAGCGTCAGGTACGCCTTCTGGGCAAAGCTCTTGCCGCACACCGTGCAGCTGAACGGCTTCTCCCCCGAGTGGCGGCGCTGGTGTATCTTCAGGTAGCTGAGATAGGCGAAGCTCTTCCCGCAGATTGAGCAGATGAAATACCTCCCCTCGATGGCAGAGTTGCCGGGTTTGGCAATGCTCACGTTCGTGCCGAAGCTCCCATAGCCAAGGAAATGTCCGCCGGAGACATCGGCATCCAGGTCGGGTTCCTCGCCGATGCCTGAGGCCACAGTCTCCATGTCCTGCTCGCCGCGACCGACTGCAGCGACGGGCTCAAGGACCTCGTGCTCGGGAGGATCCAGAAGCAAGGTCCCCGCATCACACAGCTCCTCACTGATGCCGTCCTCGGTATGAGACACCTCTGCAGAACTGTCACCAAACTCATCCTGTCCTGTTTGGGAACATCAGGACATATCAGGCACTGACAGACAGGGCTACACCAATGGTGAAGTCACTCCAGGTGATCTGTACCTTGCCCGAGCACGTTTGACCCCCAAAGTCCAGTTCTTTTGACGGGTGTGATTGCTCCATTAGAGATCACACTAGACTCGTATCGTGCCTGAGTTCAACTGAACCGTGCTCAGATCTACCTCGTCAAGGGGGCCTGGGTACAGTTCAGTTGGATTTTGGCACAGTTCGCTTACCGTGCCCGAGCATGGAACACAGACATTACTGGCCATTGGACAAACATGGTAGCAAAGGGATCACTTTGGTCTACAGCAGAGGTACAGTGTCCGCTGGAAATTTGGGCTGTAACAACTGGATTCAACACACAAAACTTGGTAAAATATTTTCTTATATGTGTAACATGACTAAATGAAAATCGTTTTGCTGCAGACTCAATAAATCTATAACAGGACCGACTCGAAATGAGCCATAAAATAAGGACTTTAATCATGGAATCGATTTGTGCTGTGCGATACTGCTTTTCTTCCTTGTTTTCTTCAACACAAAAATTCTCACAGTGATAACGAAAGTGTGCTCGGGCCTGGAATGTTAGACGCATTGTGAGCACAGATGAGTGGGGGAGTAGGGAGGGGGGGGTAATCTTGCTCGGGCACGATCTCAGGCAAACGGGCCAAGTGTGCGTATAGCCTAAGACATGGCTGAGGCTCTGAAACTCCTCCAAACCAAAGCTATGCCATGATTTTTGTACACTTTTTATATTTATATTGTATTGTATTACTTGGTTTTGATGATGTTAGTAATGTGTTAGCACCATAGGGGGACCAAGGGAATCAGTATTTCAACACACTGTGTACTTGCACATGGACGTATTTACAGTAAAGAATTGTTGAGTCTTGATCCACACTCATCCCCCCGCCAGTGCCTGGACACCCTTTTTCTCTCCCCCCCACAAGTACAGCACAATCTCCTGTCATGAACTACATAATTAAGGTATTAATATTATTCATTTTACAGATTATGCTTGCCGAATAAACGCAAAGGTGAATAGTGGTGGGGAAAATCCTTCAAAGACCGTTTGACTAAGGCAACAAAAATAAAATTTAAAAAAAAGGGGTTGGTTTGCACTTTTCCCACATTTTTGCTACAGACGTGCTTCAGAGTCACCTCCCACTGTGCCTTGGTGTACACCTGTGACGAGATCCTGGGCAGTTGCCATGGCAGCCACCCTGTGGTCAGGGGGCCGCCACATTCCTGCACTAGTGATATGCTTATTATGGCGGTTGAGGTTGGGGCTTTCACACGAACAGACATAACCGATGTGCTTTTTAAAATAGACACTGCGGTGAATTAGAATATTATCATCAGAGCAAAAGGGGCGAATAGAACAAAAGAAACCCCTTATTTTGTATTTTCCTTTACGCACGGTCTTGTTTCCACTTGAGGTGAGCTGCATTCTGTTTTTACTTCAGATAAAAAGCTGAATTTTATTTTATTTTAGAAATAGAAAGTCACCCCATTCAGGGTGTACCTAGCCTTGTGCCGTGTGGTACCTGGGATTGGCTCGAGCCCCAACCCCCACCCACCCCATGACCAGGATGGAGATAGAAGATGGATGGATGGATGGAACATGGTTGCAACTTCATTTAAACCAGGTCAGGCAGTGTTAAAAGTGAAAGTTACACCTCACGTCTTGCTTTCCAATCTGTTATTCCTGTTTTGGGAGATGTCCATGCTGATCACTACTGCATACTCATTCCCAGCATGAGAGCTACAGCAACCTGAACCCAGCAATCCAGGCCCCAAGGCAGGCATCCAAAGGCAGAATGCTCACATTCCCGAAAGCTCACCACAGCATGGCTTGGGCATGGGGCAGGAGAGCCTCTTCAGGGAGCCCCAGAAGGACAAGAAAAATCCATCCATCCACTATCTCACATTTATCTACATTTTATACATTTAAACATCTTCAGAGGTGGAAAGTTCAGGTCCAAAAAGTAAAAATCCAGACCAAAATTTTGTTTCAACCAACCAGCTGAGTACTCTGTGACTGTGACTCTATTTACTCAAATGGTTGATTGACACAAAATCTTGGCCTGGATTTCTCTTTCTGGACCTGCAATGATCACAGAACATTTTTGCAGACCAAAAAACGGGAGCCCACTTACTCTCTTGTGTGATGCTCGGGCCTCCCTTGGATTCAGTAACCCAATGTTTTTTTTCCACGGAAGCATCCGCGACTTCAGGAATCACAGGCTTGTCTGCCATTCCTGCAAACTATAGAAGAGGAACGATTCAGACATAACCGAATGGGCCAGAGTCATGCCAAGTCCATTCAAATGTCAAATGCCGGATGTTTATTTTTTAAATGTTCCTGCCACAGAGAGACCACAATCCACAAACACGCACTTCAACTCTAAAAAGTAAATATATTTTACCACCATCAAACCTGTTTCACCCTTAAGAAGTCTTAAAATCATTCATTAGTGGCATGTAAAATTAGTTGCTTTTTATGCCCGAGATGTTATTAAATAATTATGCAAATTTACAAAACTGGACACAGCTAAATACATTTTGCGAGACAGCACCTCAGTATAAGGCAGAACACAGTTGGTGACAGTTTTAACCTTCCTCCTGTTTTAGCTTTCTGTTGCTATCTCTTATGCTAAACAGGTTGGTGCCGACCCGTGTCTTAAATCAGCCATAAAATACCCTCAAAACAATTATTTGTCATCCAATTTGTTCTTACCTTTTGGTTACCTTGTTAGGCTTATCCATGAAAAGATTTGTTTTAATATTTTTGGTGTGGCTTTCTGGACCTTTCTTTTGACAGCATACCTCTCGTTTTCAATGAAAAAAATTATGGAAAAATAAACCTCAAGAGAATTATATAAATAAACTGAATTGGTCTTATCTTGCCTTACATGTATGGGCATGCCTTGCCTACTGAAAAAAAATGTTTAGTGATTTTTTAATTATTATTTTGTCTAAATAGAGGTTCCTGACAAAGTCACAAGCCTTGATGCAGTACACAAGTTTTTGTGGTGCTTTTATGCATTGTAAACTTACAAACGGGTCTAAAACGATAACACAATAGCAAGGTTAAGGAAAAAATCACCAACGGACCTTGCTCTTCGTGTAACCAGCTTGCAAAGCGTCCTCATCTTCTGCAGCTGACGGCTCTCCATCGCTCCACAGGCTGAAGCACCACTCCTTCCCAAAGACACCCTCTATGGTGGGACAGCGCTCCTTCCCTGAAACAAGTCGGTAAACTCTGCAAAACGCTCACAATAACGCGATCGCTAATTAATAAATGCAACAACAAAAGCAAAACACCGAGCAGCAACATTTTGTGTTGCATGCCAATAATTGTTATGGTTATAAGCATAATAGATGCTGTTAACTCCTGTATCTCCTGGACGGTTTATGTACATGTTAACAAAAGACCATTAAAGGTCATGACAGCTGCGCTCCGAGGTTGGGATTAGAAGACATCTGATGATGAGCTGCAAACAGTTTTCATTAAGTTTTGACAAAGGCGCTGCCTGTATAAGTAACGTCAGTACCCTTTTCCAATGCTCCGGTTTCGTCGCCGGTTTGCACTCCGACGGAGCACCGGCCGAGGGAGCAGCCGTTGGTCCTGCCCATCACCCGCTGCTGGGCGATCTTCAGCTCCGTCTCCATGAGGCGCAGTTTCCTCCTCAGCTCCTCATTCTCCGTCTGACTCTGGCGCATCTCTAACCGCAGCACAGCGGATCCCTCATCCACAAGTTTGATAATCTCTGCCACGGCCGCTTTGGATAACACCCCCATGATCGAGGAGAGCTGTGCCTGAAAAGAAAGGCAGTTCAACATTTTTATCATAAAATTGCCAATTACTTTTTTTCTAACTATATGCCGATTATTTTCTGCTTATATTAACTGTTATATGACTTCTACTATCTGGCCACTAGTAGCTGAGCGCGCCTCGGTTATTTTCGGAAGTGAGGCAGAGGGTGCTGATGGGATGCTTTACCGTAAACCCTAGGGAATAGCCGCACTTAATTTTGACGAAACGGATTTACTTGTTAATATCCCGCTTTTTCAGTCCGTCGGAGACGTAACGTTGTGTTCACGGGACATTGATACGCAGTGTGATATTTGATATTCTTATATATTTGAATTATAAATATTATATATTTGAATTGATATTCTGCACTAGTGCATTGCAAATGAGTAGGTTCAGTCTGCAGACATTTTCATCATATGGGAGGTTACAGCTATTCTGTTCTGGATCGGTTTTTGACTGGATAATAGGCTTTTGCAAATAAAGCGGTTACGTCATATCTGCAAGCGCGAAATACGGCTCACTCGCTTCCAGTTGGAGGAACTTATGAGTGCAAGAAAGGATGAAGTTGTGTCTGGAAGGAAATCCCAGACATTTTTCAAAAGGAATTGCATTTGCAATTGCGTTTTCCATATGTGGACGCATAAAGTGTGACATAATTCAAATGCAATTTGCATTACCGTTTGCTTTTGAAAAATGTCCGGGATTTCCCTCCATAGTAGTGTTTCAGAAGCTAGAAAAACAATACAATGAACACTAAATTGTTTCCTAAGTGCCCAACATCTTCAAAATATAACAGTTTTAATTCTCCACGCACACCTAAAAACTCCACACACATGGAACCTTGGCGGTTCCAGAGGTGTGAAGTAACGACGGTAACCACTGCACCACCAACTCTATGTGCAGTAGCAAAAACATAAAACCAGCAATAAATAATTAAAACAGGAAGATTTCTTTTAATTAAAATATGTATGCTAACAGTTCATATAGTTTGTCACATTTTACAATACATTTATTAATGCGCACATATTTATTTGCTGCAACATGTCACGATGTGTTCATTTCCACAAATTTATTTATTTAATAAAGTTAGAATAATCGCTCCATGGGCTCATCTCGTGAACACGGTAAACAGGTAAACACGTGCAACAACAAATGGGATGTGGCCACATGCAACACAAATCTGAACATTGAACAGCTGAGCTCTGACAAATGACCATGTAGTACTGCCCCATTTTTACGCTATGTGGTTTGTCGTGCTTCTTAATGGATCTGAAGCAAAAGTCCCGTACAGCAACCTCTCCTGTTGCCGTGATTCTGTTTGACACTAAGAATAGCAAACATAGATTAACATAATATGTACTTAAGCACATATAGAACACATATTAAGTTAGACATTCTCCGCTAGAATAACTGGGGATGTTCATAGATACTTCATTAGAACATGCATACCATAGGCTATATCACTGTCCGGGAGTAATGTTTATTAGCCTAAGATGTAGCTAACGCCAGCCACAAAATTGAAATAAAATACTCCCCTTAGTATCCGTGGAGGTAAGACGAGGCATGCATCTTAAAGCCCTTCTCTAATTTACTCGTTAATTGGTGCTTTGGAGGAAGATTTACAAAGTCGATGTACGTCGTACGTTGATCACAAGTTCGGGCAGGTCCTGTGAACAGCATGTGCAAACCAGTGCCGTTTTTCACAGACCAGAAACAAACCAGCCGAATTTCCATTAACGCCGAAGCTGTCGTACAAAGAGCCAATTAACAGAATTCCCATGTTTTGATACATGCATGGCCTCCCTTCGCTAAAGCCAAATCAGCACAGGACTTAACCGAGAGAGAAAAAATGACTTGATTAGCACATATTCACTCCCTACAAATATAAAGACATGCGTTACTTGCATTAAAAAAAATAAAATTGTCAAAGCAGAGTGTACAATGGTAACATCAATCCAGTCTTTTGTACTGCAGGAGGGAACTATGGAACAAAGAGTGCAACATCTGGAGAATGTATTTTTAATAAAATTAACTTTTTATTTTCCTTGGATGCACCATGACAGATAGTGGTTCCTATTTTCACATGGCAGTGTGCAGGTCTCCAAAGCCTAATAGAACATTGAAAAGATAGCCATGAGAGGAGAGGAACTGGAACCTGGAGGAGAGGAACTGGAACTGGAACCTCAATGGTACCAAATAAGAAAACAATCCATCCATCCATCTTCTGTAACTGCTTGTCCTATTCAGGGTTGCCAGAGCCTATGGGCACAAGGCAGGGAACAACTCTGGATGGGGTGCCAATCCATTGCAGGGCACACACACACACACACACACACGCACACACACGGGCATTTTGGTAACTTCAATTAGCCTCAGCATATTTTTGGACTGGGGGTGGGTGGGTCGCAGCTGGAGTACTCAAAGGAAACCCCACAATGACATGGCCGAGACTCAACCCCAGGTCCCAGAGGTGTGAGACAACAGTGCTAACCACTGCACTCCCGTGTCCCGTGACCCCCCCCCCCCAATCCAATCAGAGACACTGAAAATGTAACCGTTATTTTATTATCTCCAAACTTGAAGTCCAAACCGCAGCAGCAACGTCACTGTTGCAAAGTGTGAAAAGCACTGGTTTCTGCACACGGAACATGTGCGCACGTTATCCACACCTCAACTCGGAGGTTGTGGTCCTAATCATAAGTGTCTTGCATCCAGTTCCTTCTCTCTGCTCTCAAACTCAGCTCAGTGCAGCTGAAAGGTTTCTCTTCACAGCGGGTGCTGTGTATAAATCTGTATCCGTGAATCTCTGCCCAAATCAAAAACATACATATTTTCTCTTCTGTATAAATGTTTATATATGAAAGCTGATTCCTTTTCTTTAAAAAAATCCTCCTGCACACCGTACAAGTTCTTTCCTGCATGAACCAACTAGTAGACTTTTAAGATTTTGCTTGGTAGTGAAATGATCACCACACTGAGCATGGTGTGGTTTTTCTCCTCTATTATTGTCTGCGTAACTGACAGAAGCTCTTCTCACACATGTGCAGCAAAACTGTGTCAATGTGTACGTGTGAATTCAGATGACTTTTCTTCAAAAACAAAACCTTTGGCACAGATCAGTGATTTCTGTCCTGCGTAAACAAACTGATCTTTACCAAATCGCTCCTTCTGAGAATGCCTCTGCAGCTGCATTTTTTTATTAATAAGATGCTTGAAATGCATTCCACACAGTGTTGAAATTAACTGTGTTTCCCTTCTGTCGACATTCATCCGGCTTTTTTGCTGTCTGTACATTTCTTGCTAATAATAAACTGATACACTCAGGCTCACTCTGCTTCGTCTTCTGCAGGGATGAGGGACCCATTGATCTTATTCCTTTGGACCTTTTATCAGGCGCTTACCCTGAACATCTGTACATTCTGCAGCTGTGTTAGGCCTATATTTCACGAACCTGTCAAACAAAGAACTATCTTCAGCTCTGGGCTAATGAGGATGCACGCAATAATGAAATATGTGGGTCTTGCAAAGAATGTGTTAACTACCTATAACTAATAGCTTGTTTTGGTGACGGTTGCCGGGGGGGGTTGCGCGGGGGGGGGACAGAAACTGGTTTACATCCTGGACAAGTTAACTTGTTAATTACAAAGAAAAATGTGGACACTACAACCATGTTACATGAGATATTTTTGTTGGTACAGTAGCACCTCATATATTGTTCTGCACATGTTAAAGCTTAATAATAACTCTTCATGACTCATTGGGTTTGTCGCTGCATTATTATTTTTATTATTACAAACAAACTACAAACAAACCAAGTCGCCATGTTGAAATTAGATAGACACTCGGCAACAAACTGCCAAAAGAAAGAGAGCCACCTAACAACAAGGTGGTCTACATTTTGTCAAATAAGTTAAAATGGTGGTCAAATGATGGAACAGTCATGCAGCTGGGTGACACTGACCCACTGGAATTGTTCACTTGCCACCTCTTTCTGGTTCTCACTAAATTTATTCAAGCAGGACTTTAAAAGCACAATTTCTTACACGCCTATCAGCTATCAGACACTAACTCAGTGTTTCCCAATCCAATCCTCTGGGTCCCACAGACAATCCACGTTTTTGCTCCCACCCAGCTCCCGGTAGTAAAGACGTGGACTGTCTGTGAGTCCCCAAGGACCGGACTGGGAAACACTGAGCTAGTGTATGTGAGTCCCTGGCAACATCTACAATTCTTGAAAGCCTAGAATAAAATTAGTATCAAACAGATTATCTGAGGGTAATGAGATTTACTCTGAAACTGAAATTAAACATTTTCTACAAGAAGTCCAGCTCATTTTCTAGGTTTCAAACCAGCCACAGCTCCTCCTTGTACCATTGCTTCCCTGGCATTCTGAGCACTGATAGAACGACCGCAGGCGAAGCTTCGCGTCTCCGTTTCAGCCAGATGCTGCCGGACGGCTTTCAGCTCCGCCTCCATGAGACACAGCTTCAGAGTTTCTATCTCCCTCTGGCTGCCATGCATCTCCAGCCTGCAGGCAGTACGGCTGTCATTCATTAGTCTGCCAATGTCTGCCACAACTGCCAACCGTAAAACCCTCATAATTAGCCCCAACTGTGCCTGCAAAAATCACACAACTCAGCATTTTCCTGCAATAATTCAGCTCCCCTCATACTAGGTTGATACTTCTGCCTCTAATTGGACACCAGGTTTACAGTTATACATTAACACACATGTTAATTGTCTTTGGGGATTTCTTTGAAGGATGCCACCACATACCGTATATCACCTATAATGGTAGCACTGGCTTTTATTTTATTTTATTTATAGACAGTTCACGAGGGAGCAAAAAAGTGTACTGTCTAATAGAGAGCTCGGAGGGACAAAAAACATGGGGTCCCCGAGGGCTGGATTGGTAAACACTGCTTTAGATCTATCCTTTAAAACAGCGATTCTCAACCCATGGGTCAAAATTGGGTCACAGCACGTTCTGAAAGGGTCGCAAATTGGAAATGTAAGCATTTTAAAACCAGCAAGGTCATATGCTGATTCACAATCAGATTTCCCAGCCCCAATTAACCTATATAAACGAGTCTTGGGTCTGCAAACGTTTAGCACAAAACTAGTGAACACTCAACCAATCCAAGTAGCTATTCCACAGATGCTTAAAGTTCACTGGCACACCCAGTCAGATCTGTGCGATAGGCATTGATTGCAGAGCGCAATGTGTGCTTGATCATAGTGTTAATTTAAACCTATAGTTGATATAGGGTCACAGCTGAGCTGGCCTGGTTAAAATTGGGTCACGGTGCAAAAAAGGTTTGCTTTAAAATAAGAGATGAAGTGGAACATAATATGGAACATTAAAGTGGAGGAAAATGTAAAATTCGGACTGTAAAGTACATCAGCTAATTTGTTACAATCTCATGAGACACCCCTAGTTGGGACAGGGCAGGATCATGGAGTAAATGCAGTGGGGAAATAAAGACATATGCATCTACTGCAGTTTTTACAGCCTTGCCATTTTTGTTCTTTCCTGAAGCTATTTGTAGGGTTCCAAAGAAGATCTGGTGCCATGAATTACTGTACTGTTGTGTTCTGCATCGGGATCATTAATTTAGAGATCAGTGTTGACACACCACAGCACACAGTGCACAACAACGAAATGTGTTCTCTCCAACCCATATGTGACGTTGTGACATAGCAGGGGGCAGCTAATTCAGCACCTGTGGAGCAGTGCCTTGTAGGCAGAATGAATACCTCTGAAATTGTTACCTCCTCCCCACTTTCCATATTCCCTTCAGCAATGAGTTTCTGTTGGTCAGTGGTGGTGAGGTCCTCTGAGTGAAACTCAAGCAGCTCCTCAACATCCCCCACTCCACCTCTTCAAATCCTACTTCCTTTGAAAGAGCAACACAACTTGCTTTGATTTTGTGAAGCTCCTCTGAAGGATTAAAGCCATTAAAATAACCAATAAAATATGGGAGTTTTATTACCGGTACACTTCACAGGCACTTTCATTTTACATTGTTCTGTTATACTTACAGCAATGGGTTTGAGTTTGTTACAACTACAGTACAACAACGATAAAGAACATGGGCCACCCATTGGTGCACCACGGAGTAGGATTTCTCAGTTAGTTGAGTCATGATTGTCCAATAGGAATGCTCCCTACCTAAACTCTTATTGGACAGACATGACTAACAGGAATCCTGCTTCATGGAACACCCTCCAGGGTTGAACAAGCGTCAACAGTATTCTTTCGCGGTCCAACGTTTTCATTCGTGTTACTCTACGACGCAAAACATACCAAAAATAAAACATTTGTTCTTTAAATTCACGTAGGCTACAGCGGTACTGTGTTACCGAGGCAAGCAACTTCGGACTGCAACTCCCACAATGCAACACAACGGATGATATTCCGGTCACACACGGAAATTTGGGGTGGTTTTTTCTTGTTTTGTAGAAGTGGAGTGGTGAAAGTCATTCTGAATTGGTTAAAGACCTATTATTAAAACAAGGTACTGCAAATCAGAACATCAGTGTAAAATAAGATACAGTAAATACCTTAACTACTAGCCGCTGGTAAATTCGCATGTTATGCCTTATATCAATATTAGTGAGGAAACTCACATTAACACGTTACGGTTTAGTCAATCGGATGAGAACTCCGGGATTGCACAAGTGGTTTTACCATTTATTAACCTGTGTAATCTGCATATTTCAATCCGTTTATGTTATTATAGATGATGATTTTCCTTTGCGGTATTTTCGGCGTTTATGAATTCTTAAAAGTCAGATACTAGTTCACGTGCTTCACAGCCTAAAATTGCAAACAGGCATTTATGTATATTATTTTTTCAAATACGAATTCTGCCAATTCATGATGTCGGCGGTAAAGGACATCAGCGGTATCTACTGCCTAATTAGATCATATTTACTGTAGAACCTTCCTTTGTTGTCCTCTTATTTTCCTTTCAGTTATGTGCAGTAGAAAGGTTTTGGTGTTCCCCTCCGCGGAGGAGATGGGTCCGGCGCTGGCTCGCCTGGTGTCCTCCCGTGCAAAGCGAGCTTGTAGCTCCCAGCGCCGCCGGTTCTCCCTCGGCCTGTCGGGGGGCAGTCTGGTCTCCATGCTGAGCCGGGAGCTACTAGCCCTCCCTGACCTCGACAGCAGCGCTTGGATCGTGGGCTTCTGTGACGAGAGGCTGGTTCCATTTCACAATGAAGAAAGCACCTACGGACTGTATAAGGTGAAAAGCAAAGTAGTCATTAAACTCCTAGATCGAGTCCAAAATAAATGACCTGGAAAAGACTGATAGCTATAACCGGCTTGGTTCTGTATATATGTTCATTGGAGGTTGCACGTCCTGACTATCCACATCTCAGCCAGACATATCAATGTACGTTCCTTCCCCTGCTGTATTTCAGAATCAGCTTCTCTCCAAAATAAATATTCCAGAAGATGCTGTTCTAACTATTAACCCTTCGCTACCCGTGGAAGAGTGTGCAGAAGACTATGCCCGCAAGCTGAGTGAGGTGAGCGCACACACCTGTACTCATGTCCTTGTGGGGACCACCCACTGATTTCTATAGGAATAACCATAATCCCAACAATGACAACCTTAACCCCTGGCATTTTTAGTTTTTGCATTACAGTCACAGATTTTTCTAAAATTGAATTTCCACTTGTGTGGACCAAAAAAATGCTCCCCACAATGTCAAAATAACAGGTTTTTATCACATTGTGGGGACATTTGGTCCTCATAATGGAATGTATACCTAGACTGCACATACATACACCTGCTCACAGATGTGCGGATGATTGTGTGCAACTGGCCCTGCTCCTGTGTGTGTGTGTGTGTGTGTGTGTGTGTGTGTGTGTGTGTGTGTGTGTGTGTGTGTGTGTGTGTGTGTCGTTACTGTAAGTCCACAGCTTATGAG